CAAGGGTCATCCGATCATCCGACTCATATCCTTCCAATTTGAGTCATGTTCTCTCAAGGATTGAGTTTTCTGCAGATGGAAATCCTAGCATGGTATTGCCAGTGGTTACCTATACCAGTGCCCCGGAAAAAAACGCCCCCCAACTTGGATTCCGCATTCGGAAGCGCCCTTCAGGCCCTACGGCACCAGCTGCCCCCGCGCTGTTCACCTGAATACTCCAGGTGAGCGACCAGCCGGGCGGACGGGGACAGAGGGAACTGGCGGGATTTGCAGGAACCCCACAGCCATATGGTATGTCAACATACTTTTGGTGCTATTCGTCCTAAGATTGTATTTGTTGAGTTGGCAAAAACACATTGGCTCATGATTTGTTGCCAATCCGCATGAACAGCCATCCCAGACGAGGCTCCGACACCCATCTATCTCAGAGCTCCACTCGATCTCTGCGTTGAAGTAACACGCGGTCGACCGGCCAGGCAGCAGAGGTCCTTTGGATCCGGAGGTGGGAGTTCCGTGCGAACTGGGACGGAGACGCAACTTTGACGCATGCACCATGCGAGGGCCTGTGGAGTATTCGTGCTGTCCTCATGATTCCATATATTATTCCCTAATAGTCCCTAATTGCATCCAATTGCAGATTGAAGTCCACCCAACGACTTTACCTTGGACGTTTGGTATCTGGAGGGTCATGGACAAGTCTGAAGCATCTCAGCATCCTGGTGATCTAGAACCTAGACCCGATAGATAGCCGATAGCAAGACCATGAAATGAAAGGGGGAAAGTGTTTTGTGTCTTAAAATCGTTAGTAAACCCATGGTTGTTCTCTACAGACAATTGAACTACTAAAACAATCTCCAGTTGATCTCAGACAGTACTGTAGTAGAGAACGAGGCTTGTCTTTCTCAGATGCTTGGAAGAGCTGCCAAGAACTAGCAAAGCTGTAGCTGAATTCACTATATCAGGTGTGGTGTTTCTTGCTGTTGTTTGCTTTTCTCGCTGCGAGGCACACCAAAACCATTCTGTTGGACAAGCCCCATCACTTTGTTGCTGGACACAATATATCAACTGGATTCACTTGGCTTCCAACCTGGTTGTTTGGGTGACTTGGTGACGGCTGAAAGCCCAAGTGACCAAAATACCTCTCACTCGACTTGTCATCAATTGGTTTTTGGTGTTCTGGTGATTCACCTGGTGGCTTCCTTTGGGTTTCGATAAGCTTGATCTGTGCACTCCAACTTCACCTGAGAAGTTGGGGACACCATGGGACACCGATGGAACGGTGCTTGGTGGACCTGCGCCAGACCTCTCCTCGCCCTTCCTCAACGACCACGGCCGTATGGACGTGGGATGGAGGCGGGCGTGGTTTTTGGTTCGAGGCATGCGCATCCTTGGAGGTCATGTAATATTAGTAAACCTCCAAGGATGAGTCATCCAAGTAACCCCAAGGACGGAGGTACCCCAATAGGTCGTGGAGGTCATCCTCAAAGTAACCCCAAAGCAGAGTTCCTTGGAGGTTTCTGGCAAGCTTTTAGTGGCGAAGGGTTGGCCAACCCTCTTAGAGAGACTCGAACATGAAACAAGCGGCGCACCGTGTGCCGAACGACCTCGTCGTGCCGAACCACCGTCGTGGGCACCTCTAGCGACGCGTCACAGGATCTCGTTTGCGATCGCGAGAGTAGCATGGTCTGGGTGGTGACCCTAGGGCCTAAGGGGCTTTATAGGAGAGAACCTGGCTGGAAAGATTCCCAAAGGAAAGGGCATGAAAGGGCCTTGTGAGCAAGATAGGGCCAGGGAAGGGCCAAGTGCAGCAGGGCATAGATCAGTTATGATATATTAATATTGTAATACAATTATTTTCCAGTTATCATCTCATGCACATATTAATTCAAATTCATTCATATAAATATATAAAATAATAGAATCATAGTCATTTAAACAAAAAACACGATTCCAGTTCCCTCTTCAGGCCAACCCAAGACCTTTAGCATCCTTCCTCTTCATCTCGCCAGGCGGAGGCGTGTGCAGCACTCCAAAGGCTGAGCGTACATTCTGGAGCTCTTCGCCCGCTCAGGAGCCCTCGTGAAGGGATAAAAACTGGGTGGTTTGGGTTTGGGTTGCAGATATGTTTCTTTCTGTTCCCTTTCCTTGGGATGACTGATCCAACTGACTCATATGTGTCAATTGGGTTGAAAACAACCAGAAAACCAATGGCGCCCTGTGCATCCGAGTTGACAATAATGGGGTGCAAGAACAAACTCCTACAGCAGCTGAAATGGGAACTGTCTGGCATTTACAATGCTCTTGGAATTACATTGAGTTAGCACGAACCGCGCCAGGACCATCGCATGAAGCGCTCCATGTCTGTTCCCAGAGAGGCGAACGAAGCTGTGCAGCCGAGAATCAGATGCCTCGGGCATACGTTGGTGTACCTCATCCGGATATGTTTGCCGGTTGGTGGAACCCATGCTGCATGCCGTCCGGTAGTCAGTCCAATTTCATCCAAATTTGGTTGTTTGTTTCTCAAAGATCCCAGCACAACCTAGTCGGTTGCGACTACTGTGCACACAAGAGACTCAATTCCTGTACTCGTAAGTCAGAAGTTCTTGTTTGTCACAAGCTGTCGTCCCTTGTGTTGTTGACATGTGTTTTCACCTGTAAGAATCCAGGGTGGACGTGGAGAACAGGATAGAACACTAGAACACACTTCCACAATTCCAATTGACAACTTTATACACCATGTTGAGGTTGGCATCTAGAAATCTGTATAGGTTAGGCTCCCCAAATTAACACAGACACAGTCCCCACATGGCAGAGTTAGGGGGTTGCTGTCTTTTGTAGTTTCATCTAAATCAATGGGTGTGTTATGGTGTGTTCTTTGTCTTTTTGTTTAATCCTCCTTTTGCTTTTTGAGTCTCAGGTCCATTGTCTTTGCCGTTCTACCACATCGGACACAAAAATCGATCTCTGAATGTGTATAGTAGCCTACCTAGTCAGTGGATAACCTTTAACTTTTTTGGAATTGGTTTCCCCGGGCCACTTGGTGTAATTCTTGGTGCGGCCTGCTGTTCCTTTCGCATGATGAGTTGCGTCATCTTGCCATATGTTGCTTCTCCTTCCTTGGGGCCGAACATTGAAAGCTAGGGACCGAATTCGCTCTCGGAGAGAGTCGGTTCTGAATTCGTTTGTGTTGTCTTTTACATGTTCAGAGACTCGGTGGTGATGCCAAGTGACGTGACGTGGAGTGGCAGGACGTGGAGACGAATAGGTGGACCAGAAGGTGAACCTTTATTTTCCTGGGAAACTGAGGGAGTCAGGTATAGGCAAAAGACAATGTCGTTGGAAACAGCGTTGCCACGGTGATTTGGCGTTTGAAAAAGTGACCAGGGATGACTGAGGGATGACTTTGTCAGGTTCCTGTATAGGACTTCAAGATACAACTGCAGGCTGGATGGAACAATTGTTTTTTGGTCCTGCACGTGGACAATTGGATAGGCAGGACAATAGAACTGCTTGAACGATCTTGAAAGAATGAATGTTTGCCCGTGTTCCCTTTGAAACCACCGCAAGAGTCCTTCAAGGACCCCAGGTTCTTGGCAGAGTGAGACAGATCCCGAGTTCGGTGCGACAACCGAGACAGACCGAAGGACATCTTTGGGGCGCTTAGAACGTGCGGAACTCATCCCATCAACGCGACCGTCGTGGTGGGTTCCACGTGGGGTGTTTCACCCCTCAATGGTCAGGTTCCTCCGAAGCGGCCCTGGCGTGCAGCTGGCACTGCGAGGGAAGCCCAGGCTTCCATGGTGTCCACTAAGAACGAATCCGAGGACCCTGATGAGTTCAGGTATATCGAGGTACTGATTGCCGAAGATCCCCAAGAAATCTATCTCACATCCCTTTTTGTTGGCATCTGAGAATCTTGGTTTCTTTGCTGGAAGGCTTTCATGCTTGGGTGGAAAGGTGAAGGAGCAAGGAGAGATTCCTCTTTCGTCAGAGGCAAACGGAAAGGTAGTGCACAGAAAGGGCTTTGCAAAAACCTATTCTACTAACATCGCGGAAGGCGCGGGACATTGGTAGAACCCAAGGCTATTCGTGGACAGTTCGCGGAATGGTGGGCCAGTAGGAGAACGGACTGCAGTGAAATCTCAGAAACCTTCGCAGAACTTCGTGGAAGGTATTTTTGATGCACTAACTTCGTATAAGCGATTTTTGCTGACCCCCTTTCTCCACACACCCTCCATTTAGCCTTCATTTCGTGTCCTCTCATTCCGCCACAGCATCGGATTCGTTCGCAGGGGTTCCGATGGTCAGCAACCGGAGTCAGCATGGATCGATGGTCTAAACGCCGACGAAACAGGTTGGTTAAGTCTAAGGGATAATCCACCGAGCCTCGACTCAAGCCTTTGGATTTAGACGTCCGAAGAGATCAGGACTCATGTCCCACATGCTGGGACACTTTGATGGCACATAGACAAATGGATACAGATGGGCAGATGTAAAGCAAGCACCAAACACTCAGCCCGCTGGTCAATCACGAACCTCGCCCGCTTTCGGCATCGTTCTGAACGGGGGTGCGAGTCTTCGGTGGTGTGGCCTGCTTGTGAAAGAATCGCCAAACAGATGGTCCGATAAAGACCTTGGCAGTAATACATGGCACTGTGGTCACTGCTAGGGATCAGGTATCTAGTGGGGCACTTGCACACTTGAAGCCGAAGCACAAGCCAACCCACCGACTTACAAATCCCCTCAAACGCTCTTTTCATTTGGCTCAGCTTTGACGAGTGTCTTGCGCCAGTTCAAGCAGGATTGACATGGATTGACCATCAGATTCTGTTTTACTCAGTCCAGACAGCACGCTGAAACCACGTTGAAACTTTGTCACCAAGATCATACGTCATAAGTGTTCAAAAGAACGTGGCAAGAATCAAAGTCCGAAAGCAGACTTAAAACCCTTGAAAACCTGGCTAAGCAGCTTTGAGGACCCAGAATACAGCATGCTGCAGGGAAAAGTTTCTTTGGTGCCAGTGTTCCTCTTTCAAGCTGTGCACGATGAGTGCCCATGTCTTTCCAGACGCTCAGATGCAACAAGTGTTTTTTCAGGTCTCCTGAGGTCTGCAGAGTCCGCAGGCTTGAACTCCTTGCCCAACTCTGCCGGACTCTGCCAGTCAGATTCAGCGTACGAAACAACGACTACAATGACGATCCTCGGGTGGTAATGACGATATTCGGGTGTCAGGTTTGTCATCCGCTGAAACGATGAGAGTTGATATGACTTGACGGATGTAAGGCCAACTCATCCGCTGGAACATGGTTCCGCGGACGGGGAAGGTCGTCACCAAACTACCGAAGACACCGCAGAAATCCACGAAATCCAATCCAAGTGCAGCGTTCACATACACATCCAGTCTTTCACATATGTAATCCAATCCAAGTGCTTTGCCCCCCCCTCTCAGTTGCATACACATCCAGTCTCCGCCCAGTCAACCCCCCGATCCGAACCACACCGCGCTGGTCGTCTCCCGCGATCGGAGCGGGTCGACGAGACCGGTCGCGGTCGGAACCCGAGGAAGCTCGTTTGCTGCTGGGCAGATCTACTGTCGCTGGGCAGATAGAAACCCCGGGAGTTTATAGGTGTTCTTCACCCCTTGGGAGTTTGGTCTGGTGGTGCTGAGTTGCTGAGTTGCCAACCACGTTTGGAAGAAAGGAACGTGGACGTGAGTGGTCCTACGGGATATGGAGTACCCCTAGTTCTCCTAGTTGTCCTGCGGCACCTGACGAAGTTGCAAAGTAGTCAGTATTGTCATGTGTGCCACAATAAGTCACAATAGATGGGCGTGACATACATAAGGAGTTTAGACCGTTGCACAGTGTGGGCATGGTTTTCGACAGGGGCTCAAAATGTACATATTGGTGGAGAATTACATTACAACCTTCTTCTTGCTATCTATGAAAAAACAACACATATCCATGTTCACAACCTTGAAAGACCATTCTTCCCTTTCAATCGCCCATGTGCGCGGGTGGCGAGGTATGGACGTGCTTGTTGCCTCTGGAACTGCATCTTTGCTCCATGTATCTCAGCTGTGACCGATGTGCAGCACATCCCGTGATGACATGGATGAAAGGAGCTGTTTAGAGCTGTGTTTCTTCTGTTTGTAGGAGCTGCAAGAAAGAACGAGCCTCACGGGTTGGGCAACTGGGGCAGACACTCTTGGACCCTTCCGACCCTTCCCTCATTCCGCACTCGGTTGCATTCATAAAACATCTATAAGGCTAAGCACCAGCTGTGTGCCGAAAATAAAGGATCGCCTCAGCACGAACTCCTGTGTTGGTCCTCCAGGTATCTGCAGGCACGGAGCGCTGGTGCTTTGGCCTTTCCCACACCATAGATGGCATTATGATGCCATCCCCTTTAGTATTCCCGAAAGGACATCATTGTCCCACACTTTTCCAAGGCGTTCTGGGCGTTTGGAGCTTTAGCATCTACTGCTGTGGATGTCTGCGACACCTGGCAAATCGTGGGACCGAGTTCACCCCAAGTCGTTGCGGAGGTTCAGTGACTGGTGGGTTCGGGACATGTGGAGGAGGGGTTGACCAAGTGTGACAGTCTCTCGGGCACTTGGCAAGTTCAATTCTTTTTCTTGAGCGTTCTGAACCAATACTTGTACTGTAGGTCGCAACTCAGACCTATTTACCCCACACTGGCAGGAAGACAAGGACTTCCTCCATCAGGGGTGAACCTCATGATTCTTTGCACCGTGCCAAATGTGGTGCAACTCTTTTCTAGCTTGGCGTGCCCTGCGACTCTTTCTCGTACCAACTCCGCCTTCATCCAAGGAATCTATGCTTCTCGGAATGGGTGCCTTCATCGCACTTGCTGAACTTGACCAAGATCTATCCAAGTGTTGTTGAAATATCCTTCGAGAACCTTTTGGGTGACAGACATCGGAAGTGAACAACCGGACTTCAAACCCATCTTCCGGACGTTTGTTTGTCCAAGGGATCCGCAGCCAATCAGCCATTGGTGGCTCTAATTCGATGTGTGTTCTTTTTGCAGATGAGGTTGATTTACCCTACAGTTCCCAACTTACAGCATGTTCCAGCCAAAGTGCGCTATGTTTTTCTTCAAACATGTAGCTTAAGCATGTATCACCAGATGCAAGCCACGGGGAATTTTTGAACTCACCTGACCCTCACAAAGCATATAATACAATGATTCGCGGACGAGGTCGAGTTGTTTGAAGTTGTCTCTGGGTGAAAAACACCACGGCCAGCTCAGCCGGTTGAAATAGGCATGCAACATCAAAAAAAACTATCCCAGACCATCCATGTATGGAAGAAATAATTACATAATATTGAATTTGCAGAGACATTCAAATACTCCATTTAATGACTCTAATGTAGCTAGCTAGTTCCATACATGGATGGTCTGGGTCCTGGGTACTGTATCTACAACATCATAGGGAAAAGCAAAACAAAAGCAAAAACAACCCTTGACTTGTTCGAGGCCATCCTCTCTCTCTTCTATACAATAATAGCATATGGCCTCCAGCCTAAGAGCGATGGCCTCCAACCTGCTAGCGATACAAACACACAACTTGACTCGTTCGAGGTCATCCTCTCTCTTCAAGGACCAGACCTTCCCTGCCAGTGCAAAGTCACTGGGTGACCACGATGAGGACCAGAGCTTCCTTTGTTGGGTTCTTTGGACGACCCAAAAGAAACGCTTGGGCAAAGTATGGCAAAGTGACCCTTTGGTTTGGTTGGTTGGTTGGTTGGTTGGTTGGTGATCTATTGGATTTGTCCGTTTGGAATAAGAAGGAAAGCTTTGCCACGTGAAGATGGATTCGAGAAAGACTTCTCATCATGTGTCCTTCAGAGGTGACGAGGTCATGACCTTAGGTCGTCATATCGTATTTAGGCTAACACTGCCTCAGTCCTATTTTCTATGCAGGTTGGGAGCAGAATAGCGAAGGGTTCCAATCTGATCTCTTATCTCTTCACTTCCAGTGATCTCTGACTGAAACTAAGATCAACAACGAAGACTTCGGCGAGTCATGTGTCCAAGTCCAAATCTTTCGGACAAAACGAAAGAAGTCTAGTGAGTCTGGTGCTTCATGCAATCCTGCCCAAGACAAAGGACAACTTGTACCGCTCAGCGAGCAGGTTGTAAACCAGCCAGATTCTTATGCAAGTGTGGCTTCTAAGGCAAGGTGAAAGTCTATTTATGCATGAAGCCACAAGTTGGGCATGCCGCTGCTGTTACTTTGAGATGCCATTTAGGCACAGAATAGATTGTGAATGCAAAGATGAATGGTTATGTTGACCCACACAAACACAAGATGAATGGTTTTTGGTTTACACAAACAAAACACACATGACAAAGACCCCCCACCCCTTGGCAGCTGCTAGGTTTGCATTCACCATCATTCACCGAAAAATGCAGAAGGCAACGATAATTTGGATGGATCATGTATAGAACCGGTGGAGGAGGTGGTCTGAGTCTCTGAGTCTTGCGAGGAGGTGGTCTGGCTGCGCGCCACCAAGTACGCAAGGACAAAGCGGCTCGGCGTCCTTAGAGTTCCCACAAAGTCAACACTCTGAAAAATGTATAGACTCTTGACTAATAAGCCCCCAAGTTGAATTGGACATCCGTTTCATATGGGGGGGGTTATTACACCATCGCACACGAGTCGGATGTCGCGCGCAACCGCACCCTCTCTGGAGCACGGCAAGTGTGAACCATAAATGGATGCACCGAATTATTGCACCGGAAGAAGGCAATCCCAAGACGACAGAGCACGGCCAGCACCTTCATCAAAGATGTGAATCAGCCGGAACCGTTCGTCGTCAGACATCAGAACGTCAACGCCATGGAAAATTCCTTTAGGAAGCTCACGCCCACAGCTCTTGTTCCTCTTGGTATCAACTCCACAAGGGAAAGGCTGACACAACTCAGACGGCTGCAAATGCTTAAGCATCGCACGGAAGGTGGTGATCAAATGCATGTACAAACTGATCGACGCCTCAAGTTGGGAGTGCTTGAAGCCCCTCCACCAAAAAATGCAAGCGAGCTCAACAACCGACACACTGAAGTTGTCGTCAATGCGCCAATGAAGTTGCATGAAAAACTCTCTAAAGTATTTCCAATCTTCAAGCTCATGGGGCCACTTATGCGGCACCGGCAGGAATTTGGGAATCTTGGGCTTCCAGGTATAATTTTCCACAACCGCGTTCCATGGCCACAAAGGAAAGCGGTGAAGATGACTGGCAGGATTGTCAACAACAGGTTGTGCGACAACATCAGGTTGTGCCGGCTTGTGAACTTCAAGCATGTGACTGACAATGACTAGCCATTCCTGTCTGTGAAGGATCGCATTCTCAAGCATTCTCTGGTCTTGTGGATGAATGGCAGAACATTTTACCGCTTCATCTTTTGCACTACGATCTGCCCGCCTGTTGTTAACAACATCAAGATATGTGGACCCATGCTGCTGAGCTAAACTCTCCGTGACAAGGTGTACTGGCACATCTTCAAGAACATGGCTGGGGATCCATTCGACGATGACCGGGTGCGAATGTTGACAGCGTCGAACTTGCACAATCTCAAGAATCTCATTCCACCAGGACCGGTGAGCCCAGTGGTTGGGCACCTCAACAAAGGTGAGTAGATCCTGAAATTGATTGACCACCGACAGGCAGTCGGAGCGAATCAAGAGACGGCAGGTTGCTCTTTTAATAGCACGAACAATCGCGAAGAGTTCGGTAGTGTAGGCACACAACTCCCAATGCCGTACTGGCCCACACTCCAAAACTTCTGCATTCTCAGCAACAATCGAATACGCTCCTGAAGCAAGCCAGAAATAGGTATACCACTGCACAGATCCATCAGTCCAAACAATGTCTCTGTACTGGGGATCAAAGAGCTGAGAGCTCTCACCAGTGGAAGAAACTCGAAGACGCTGCATCGCAACAGCCCTTGGGTGTGCGTAGAGGCCAAACTGCGCAAAGTTGGCCCCAAAATCGTGATCAGCTGGTCGCGGAAGGACACTCGACACCCCCGTGCATTCATGCACGAGATGCTCCCATGATTCCTTGGGGGCGTTACACAGGCGGCATTTAGGGTTGTCAACCAAACCTGCCCGAAACAGTCGATCATTCGTGAGCTGACATCCAACCCGAACAGAATCAAAGAAAGCTTTGATGGGAAAAGGGGAATCAAAGTGCAGCTTGGACTTGCGTAGAAAGATGGAAGACAAGTCAGGATCAAGGATCCCATGACACTTGACAATGTCTTTGCGGTTGTTTGACACGGCTTCGGTATAACACTTCTGCTGGGCAAAATATTGCAGGGGTTTGGCAAAGTCTTTATGGTTTAAGGCATACAATGGGATTGGCTCGGACCCACGAAAAGAAACACTCAAATCATCAACGAGCTTCAATCCTAAGATGCCAAGGCAGTGTTGTAACTGCCACAACAAAGATTCTGCCGGCCATGGTGTGGCTGCCTGAAGCGTGCGGCAGACCGCAATGAAAGACGAATGCTGGTGTAGGAATCTAACAAAATCCAGGACGGCATTGTATGCTCTTGCCATCCGAGGCTCACAACGATGCGGTTTACCCAAAAGCCCGAGAACAAGCATTCTCGATCTCCAATGTGGTCGGTTGGCCCACAAAACGTTGACAATCTCATTTTGTGTTTTCCAAATCACATGTTGGGGGATTTTCGTGATGGCGGCGCCATAAGTGACTTGGGGAACAACCTTTGAGCAAATCAACGTGAGTTTGGCTTGTGTGGGAATGGGCAAAGCATCAATATTGCGAATGTCATCAATGATTTTCCCTGTCTTCTTTTTATCAAAGTCAAAGCTCTTAGACGAGTGGGTATAAATCTTAATACCCAGAACATCGATAGTATCAGCAACAGGAATATTGGGAAATCTCGACTGAGCTTTGGACTTGGATTTCGTGTCGGAAACCCACAATTGACACTTGGCTGGGTTAGACGTCTGGCCAACCATGGAATCCCAAAAGTTTGTGGCCGTGTAAGCCTGGAGCAAATTATCGAGGTTACAAATGGAGGCCCAAAGGTAAGCATCGTCGATAAATGCTTTAGCAGTAACTTGTGGGATGAGGTTCATGAAGATGGCCCAAACAGCCATTATCAGATTGACGGCAATCAATGAGAACGAGCAACCCTGCGCAACACCATTGCTTGCAGTAGTGGCAAGGGGAGAGATCCACCCTCTCAGAGCCAAGTGTCTTTTCAGGTTGGTGTACATCTGGATGAAGAAATGAACAACCCCACGAGGCGCACCAAAGGCCATCATCAAGGCACCAGCAATGGATGGAATGATTCTGTCGAAGCACTTAGATTTGTCAAGCTTCAATCCTACCAGGGTATTGCCGTGGCTCTTGGCCATATCTAAATCGAGACGGAGGGTGGTGTGGACGGAGGACATCGTCCGGCCCCGGATACCCCCACAAAGGTTACTCGGAATGACATTGCTTTGCCAAGCTTGCAGCTGTCGGAACCTTAAACCGGTGTAGCCTAAAAGGAGAACCGGAAGCAAAGTAATGAGCCTCTTCTGCATTGGGGAGGGATCACCATTCTTATTTAGTACCATCTGCTTTGCAATCGTCAAGACCTGAGGGAGATCAGACAAGTTATTCTCAATTTGGTTGAAGATGGTAGCAATAGGAACAAAGGCAACCCAAGGTAAGATTTGAAGTTCCTGCGTACGCCAGCCATCAAGGCCTGGCGCTGCATCGGGTTTACGTCTCTTGATTTGCTGGTGAAGATCGAATGCAGAAATCGGAGGAACACTTGCTTCTTGAGCAAAATCAGCAACGTAAGGCCAAACAACTCGAAGAATCATGTGTGGGTCTTCGTGAAGGACATTTGCTCCAAAAATCTGGTCCCACTGGTTATTGAATTCCTCAAGTGCATCGAGAGGCTGATACAAGATATTGCCAGCAGAGTCGGTAATGAGGTTAGGGGGTTCCTCCATGGCTTTGGTCTTAAGGTGTTTGAAGACATATTTCTTGTCGGCAGCAATGGATGCACGAATGCGATCTTTCCAGGATTGGATACGTTTCTTACGAGCCTCACACGTGGCTGACAAAAGAAAGTCATTCATCCACTGCAAACACAGGAAAACCTGGCAAACTTGTGGAAGAGTGTCAGTCTGCCAAACATGGGGACAATTCCAGTTCTTTAACCACACTGATGCCCTGCGAATCGACTTCGAAAGTGTGGTTGCATCCTCAAACGACTTGATGGGGCGGGTCAGCCGGATGTAAATCTCTCGAACAAGGTTCAGAGCTTTGGAGATCCTCTTGAGGCGAAAGGACAGGGCGTCCCCAAAATGAGTTTGACCCGGAGAAATACGAGTCTCTTTGAATTTTGGAGGATTGCCCCGAATGTGAGGGCCTTTGTCCCACCGAGCTCCATTAGTGAGGAGAACTTGGATCATGTACTGATTGGCCACCGCCCACTGCTCATCAACCGATTGCGACCGGTCGAAACTGGAATGAAAACGATCAGTCCACACTCGCGTGGCGTTTTCATGGCACGGACACAGTGGGTCGTCTGGGTCAGGGCTAGTACACTGTGACAGATCGAAGGGAGCAGGTTTGACTAAAGTGTGCCCAACCTGACGGATGGACTCCCAACAAAAGGTGGCTCGAATCGGTCGGTGTTGGACTTTGAGGGGAAGAACCTCGATCTCCCTGAGGGCCGAAAAGGCCACATGATTGCACAGGATAGCATCGATTGAGGTGCAGTGATCCCCTGGACCTGAGAACAGCCCGTCAAGGGAGTATGTGAGGGGCCTGTAAAGGTCACCATTCGAATCGACCGAACACAACGGGTCGAACCAGGAGTGGTTATTGATGGCCACAGACAAACTCTTGTAATGCATTGGATTCAATTGGAAGTCACCACAAATGACAATCGGTATTGGCCCAAACTGAGACGCACATTCAAGGATGTTGTGGAAAAGCTGATCATTTTCCGCATGAACTTCAGGGAACTTAGACGCGGCAGTTCGCGCGTATACCGAGAAAACCAACATCTTGGTGTGGGTGTTGACCTGGACCCATACGGCAACGACACGTTTTGTCGCAAACAGGCAACGGTAAGTCTCGCATGATTTCAGATCGAAGGGGGAAGTTGTGTGTTGGGACGCCAAAATGGCTGTCCCCCCCCGATCCAGACTTCAACACTCCATTTGTTTGGAGTATGCCAGGAAGCAACTCACCGGGAAACAAACTCTTTCCTTTGGACTCGACATCCTTCCGGGACGATTTGATATTATTCTTGCCAATGCGAGTTTCTTGAAGGCATAGAATATCATCATTTGTGGAAAACCAAAAGGTGTTCGTCTTAAGAGAACCAATGTTTGCCGTACACACGGTGAGTTGCTTCGAATCAGATCCAGGGCCTTCGCCTGGGTAGCCTTTTGTAGCATCAAATTGACATGTGGTCCCTGGTGCAAGAGGACCATATGGAACACGGTGCATGGAGCTCTCATTTCCCCATGAAAGCATGTGAACATAG